CTAAATTTGGCCTATGAGTCATAGTTTGCCAACTCTTAGCTTAAAGTGTTAATCCGAATTTTGGATGGTACAATTTTAAAAAATGTTTTATCAATGTGGACTACGTAAGTTCACTTAGGAATGGCTGAAAGTAACAATACCGAACCAGCAACAGCTTACCCGTAGAGGGATATACTGGGTGGGCAAAAGTAGGTTGACTGTTGCCCTGTGACGTTCTTTTGAGTTAGTAAAGCTGTTGTAATAATCATAACCTGCATCTCTTTTTCATAGGAACAACGGTCAACCTACATTTGCCCATCCCTCATATCTCTCAACATTGCAGTCAGACACCTAAGCTCTTTCTGGCTTTGTAATCTCCTTGGGGTGTATTTGGGGTTGTCCTCATCTAGTCACCTCAGGGCTGTGGAATTCCTGCTGCAGCACCACATTGTTCAAGGCTGCGAGCCTGAGGAAGGCGGGGCAGCACCACCTGTGCTTGTCCTCCTTGTACTGTTGTTCACGGGCTGCCCTGCCACCCACTTTCTCCACCAGCTGATTTCTCTCAGGGCTTCTGAGGCCTGAAGAAATGTGACATCCGGAACAACAGTGAACACTGTCTAGTGTGTGCATTTTCTGTTCTTGTTGGCTTTCTTGGGAAAAAGTATTCAAAAATAAAAGAAAGCACTAATATGCTAAGACAGTTTTTATCTCACACTCATTATCCTTTAAAAGAGAAAACAGTTTACAGTTGTTTTCTTTTTTCCTTGAATATTTCCTTCATCCTCTTTTAAACTTTGACTGTTATAAACATATATTTAGACCCAAATAATTGAAAACAAGTTATTAGTAGGTTAGAAGACTGAAATTTTTTTGATTCTTTGTTTTTTTGTTTTTTAATTAATATGTACCCAAGGACATTTTTCCATTGGTTTTTAGAGGGAGTGAAGAGAAGGAAGGTGGGAAGGGGGGGGGCATTGATGTGATAGAGACATATAGATTGGTTGCCTCCTGCGTGACCCCAACTGGGACGGGACTCAAACCTGCAGCCTAGGTACGTGCCCTTGACCAGAAATCAAACCCTTGATCCTTCGGTTTGCAGGCCGACACTCTAACCATTGAGCCAAACCAGCCAGGGCTGATATTTTGTTTTATAGGAATTATATCATTATCTTGATCAGTGTCTGTACCTCAGAGATGAGTGGTACATATTCTAATTCCATTTTCTATCTAGAGAAGTGAAATTGAGTGAAGGTTACATGACTTGACAGGAATTGTATATACTCACATGTGATATATTTCTAAATGATGTCTCATTACCACTTGGCATGTGTGAGCCTGCAGCTGTTGGCATGTGACGGTATGGGGTTTGTAAACCCTTTCTCAAGTTTGTTCCAAGAGGACTCATTTCAACAGTTAGCGCATTTTATACTTGTGAAAATGAGGTGTATTTTTTCATCGTCATTAAATGAATGTTGATATTGTATGTCATATGGTCAGTAAATGCAACCTTGTTTTTTTAAACAAAGACAAGACAGTTCTGTTTATTAAATTTAGGACTATTTAAAGCTTCATTTCTCAAGCATGCCTCTTTTCTCTCTCTCTCTCTCTCTCTCCCCCCTCTCTCCCTCCCTCCCTCCCTCCCTCCCTCCCTCCCTCCCTCTCTCCCTCTCTCCTTCTCTTTTGTGTGCACACACACACACACACACATGTGCTTTCTTTCTGTGTGTATGTGTGTGTGTGTGTGAGAGAGAGAAAAATGTTGCCTGTGATTTTTTAAGCTTTTAATTTGTTCTAGATGAGCAGTTTTTTTTTTCTTTAAGGAAATGGAAAGATTACCTAAATATTTTTAAAAATATATTTTTTTATTGATTTTAGAAAGAGAGGAAGGGAGAGAGAGAGAAAGAGAGAGATCTATTGGCTGCCTCTTGCACGCCCCTTACTGGGGATTGAGCCCAAAACCCAGGCATATGCCCTGATCCAGAATCCAGCTGGCTACCTCTTGGTGCACAGGACAGTTCCCAATCCACTGAGCCACAATGCCAGGGCTACCTAAATATTTTTCTTTTCCTGAAATATATTAATGAAAAAATGTTAGCTTATTTTGCAAATGTTGCAAACATATAAGCTTTTGTTCTAAAGGTTTTTTTTAATGAGATATATTGATTTTCCGTGATTGTAACAACATGTGAAACTGTCAAGTTTATTCTTTTCTTGAAATTTCAGAGAACTTTAATTTGATTAAAGCTCTTCATTTTGGTCAGCCAGATCTCATTTACCTGGTTAAGGTTTGCATGGATTCAAGGCCTAAGAGACAGCAAATCCTCCTTACTAAATTTTGTGAGTCATTTTTTCTATGAAATTCTAATTTTAGTTTGTTTTCCCCACAGTAGATTTGTCTGTTTGTTTTTAATCCTCACCCAAGGACATTTCTTTATTTTTTGTTCAGATAGTGTGGGAGGGAGAGAAAGGAAGAGAGAAAGAGAGAGAGAAACATCGACCTGAAAGGGACACATCGACTGGTTGCCACCAGCACTGGGAACAAACTGTAACCAAGGTAAGTGCCCTAAGCAGGAACTGAACCCAGGTCTCTCTGGACCGCAGGCCAACGCTCTAACCACTGAACCAAACTGGCCAGGGCTCCCCACAGTTAGATATGTAAAAATTGTTTTTATAAAGCATCTGAAGTCTTGAAGTTGCTAATATATCACATACGTTTTTCCACTTTATCAGTATTTGGTAAACTACGGCCTGTGAGCCAGATCCAGCCTGCGCTTCTTTCTGTAAACAAAATTCCAGGGGGCACCTGCCGCCCATTCTGACTACAATGACAGAAGTGAGTAGTTGCCGTGGAGACTATATAACATATTGACCCCTGCACTATTGCTGTGATCTATGGCAGTCTTGGAAACTTGGTGTTTATATACTTAAACATTTTCTTTGTCTTGATTTTCTTTTCTGTCCTATTTCTACCAGTAATGCTTTATGAATTACTGACCATTGTGATCCCCTAAGGTCAATAAAACATTAATGGAGGTAGTCAGTGATTGAGAACTAAAGCCCTCTTAGACTCCCATTTCTTATCTAATATCCATATTCTGATGTATATGATAATTTTTAAAGTGTAGTAAATTTAAACTTTTTTGTAGTTTTTTTTTTTAAACAGATATGTCACTAATGTCTTTGTCAGTCATCTAGTCTAGGGCTTCCCTACATAGTCCATGGACCAGAGGATGCATTCTAACCTTCTGTAAAGATTAAGTACAGACCTCTGACTTCCTATAATACGTCTTCCTGTCTTTACCAGTTGGGATCTGAGTAGCCGTATTTTTAAAAAGTGCCCTGGGTATTTCTGATAACTTGCCTGCTCTTAAAGTTGCCAGATCAAATCACATTTTACATATACAGTCATGAGGGGTCATTGAGATGGCACAGATGGGACTTGAACCCTGAATCCATTCCGAACGCTTCACTTTACTGAGTTTGCTCTGTTAGCACTGCAGGGATCCATGCCCAACTGTAAGTTATTTTAAAGGATCCCTGGGAAACATCCCTTTGAAACAATGTAGATGGAAAAGAAGGATTGAAATCTCTTTTTATATCTGTTTCAGATTGGCCTAATCCAGTGATTTTCAGTCAGTTTGCTGCTAAGAATTTTTAAAACATCCAATACCTGATTATTTAGTCAGGGTTACTGACCTCTTTACCTTTAGATTGTCAAAAAAAAAAAGATGGCAACAGCCAACATAGCAATGGCTGTCTGGTGTGAATGAATCAAAATTATACCTATTTTTGTGTGTGTGTGAAATTGGCAAAAGATATATTTTTTGGTGTGCCGCAGAATTTTGGTAATTAGAAGCCATGAGATGAAAAAGGTTGAAAATCACTGGCCTAATCACTATCCTTAGAATTTATCTCTGCGTGCCAGCCTTTTATCTTGCCATTTTTCCTTCTTCCTATGTTCCCCGTTTATGCAGATTTGTTTTATAATTGATAGAGCTAAAGCTCCCACTCCATCCCCATCCCTGTCTTGTTTTAGCTTTTTCTGATCACTGTAGCCAAAATGTCTTTTTCCTCTGACTATAGCATTTATCAATAGTCAGATAATATTCCGCCTTTTATGTGGCCCTAAACTATATACTGTCAGCTATTTCTGTCTTTTTAAAATGGTGATAAGAAAGGTCACTTAAAATGTCTCATAAGTTATTTAAAGGCAAAAGTCACTTTTTCTCCTGTGTATCTCCCACAGTGTCCAGAACAGTATTCCATAGTTGGTAAACACTTATATATGCTTATTTCTCTAGAGTTGCTGTAGGATTATTTGAAAATCCTGATTTATTCCTTGATTATAGTCCACTAAGGCCTGGAAACAGGAGAAAGTGAAAGTGTTACTACATGGGAAAGTGTCCAGTAAAGTGGCCAAAGGCCACCTTTTAGAATTTGTAGATAAAACCCTAAATATCATCTTCTTCAGATTTGGCAATGAATGCCATTGATTTTAGAAGGAAAAAAAAAAATGTCCGTAAACATACTAGTACCATTATTTAGAATAATTATATTTTAAAACAATTCTTAATTCTGTGTGTATACAAAAAAAATGTCCTTAACGTAGTGACATTTTTGGATAAAGCTGGTAAAGTTACTATGATTGGAAGCACTTCTTTAGTGGGATGTCCTTGTAGTTACACATAACACCTATAAAATAAGTCCCTGAGAAATTTACCACCCTGCCTCGTTCCCACAAATTACTGATGGTGATGAGCATATTTCATGGCACCCCTACTGACTGATTAGTTCTTCTGAGCTCTTGCGAGTGTTTTCACTTCCTCTTATTCTTATTTTAACATTTCTTCAAAGACTGTTTTTGTTTCTGTGCTATGTTGTATTTATGACTCTGAATACACAGGACTTTTCAGCAACTGGGGAATCCTCCAAAAAAGAAAGAAAAAACTATGCTTTCGACATGAATAGTCCAGTTTCATTTGGCATATATTATTGACAGAAGTGCTTCATCCTCTTTACAGCTTGCTGTGTAGCAGATGGTCGTTATATCATTTACGACTCTTCAGGGAGTGCATAAATACATGTACACGAATAAAAAACAGCTTATTCTGGTAAGCCTCTTGTGTTCCTACTGATGGGGTTCCCCAAAACAGATAAGGATTTTCAAACTTGAAAATGAGTTTTCAGATTTCAGCTAACATTTTGTTTGTATTCATGTACTTAACTGCCACCTCTTTTTCTTTCTCTTTTTCTTAAAAGGCAAGCTTGGATCTGATATTCTTGCCATATATGCTGCTTTTTTTTTTCTTTCTTTCTTCTTTTGGCAGGAGCATACCAGCTCTAAGGGACATCTGAGACATTTTGAATATGTAGACAGAGCTTTTAAAGAAAGGAATGGCTGTTCTCTTTTATCAGCCATGCAGACTTAGAAGCAGACTTTAGAGGAAAACAGAGGCATGTGTGTTCTCACTGTGTGTTATTGTTGCGCCCCCTCACATAGCTGTTAGGGTTTGTCAGCAGTTTGTTTTGACTCACTGTACCAAGGGGGGTGGTTTTCGGTGTTTTTGTAAGTTAACTAGTGTGGGATGTCAGTAATCTCAACTCTACCATTTTGATTGGCTTTGATCCACCCTTTTCCCAGGCTACATTTTAGTACTAAAACTTGGTGTAAAATATTTGCCAAATAGTTACTCCCTTCTTATAACCCTGGAGGTCAAAACTGATCCTTAAGATATACAGGGTAGGGCAAAAGTAGGTTTTTTTTTTTTTTTTACGCAGTTGTTCGTATGGAAAAGATTACAATAATTAATAAATAATAATACAAGAGTAAATCCTGGGTTTGGCATACTCAACAACTAACTGTAAACCTACTTTGCCCCACCCTGTAGACTCTTTTTGTTTCATGTTGCCTCTGTGGTATGTTCATGGCATTTCTCTAAACTAATTTGGGAGCCTCCTTGAATTATTCTTTTTAATTCATCTTGATAGTTCTTCTTACATAATGAAATTCAGTTTTATTTCTTATGGCAAGACTGGGGACTCTCCTAAGTTCACATTTCATTTTTTGAGAGTTGGTTTTCGACAGAGAGAACCATGACAGGTTGTTTTGACTAGGGACGAGGAAGTCTTTGGTAGCATCTGAAAGAGAGGACGGGGCTCCTTGACTTGAATGGCTCCTTGACTCTGATTTTAGAAACCGTGAACAAAGAGAAGGTGGTCTAGGCAGATCTGTCTTGGCTGGTTTACTGTTTCCTAAGAGAAATGGTACTCCAATGACTTGGGCAACATAGTGGTCCCAGTATATTTTTGACATGATTTTAAGGTTGGAAAATACAGCTTTTTATGTATGAGACACCACAGACAAACAGTGTTTTCCTTTAGTCACTCAAGGTAACCATTACATTTAAAGATCAGTGTAGCTGTCTTATGTTGCTGATAATTTTGTATTGTGTAACAGCTTGTTATTTATTTATGTGGGATTAAAATTAAAACAGCTCTTTATGTGGGATTAAAATAACTAGAATTCTTTCGGTATTTTCAGTACTTGACATTTAAGAGACAGATGGCAAGTAAACAAGGTGAGAGAAGGACTTTATTTTCTGTATTACAATCTCAAACTACTGTAAATAATTTTAATTAGATGTTATTTTAGGAAGATTCCAATTTACTGCAGGTCACTGAAGCTTGGACAGAGCAGAATCTACACCATATATTTTAATATATCAATAATCTATTGCATATGGTTGAAAGTTCATCTGGGACTAGAGGTTCTATTTTTATGAATGTGAAAATTTTTCTGGGTCCCAGTGTGCCTTAGGGTAAAACTCTTTTTCTATTCAATTTTAAATAATGCCATTTTAAATTTCTAGTGGGAGTTCAGAATCAAGTCACGGTTCAGTTTAAACATTTAGAAATTTCTTCTGGTATCATCTCCTTTTTAGTAAGCTCATGTTCATTTTTCTTCATGGTGCTTATGATTCTTAATTTCTCACAGCTCTACTGGAGATTTTCTTCACTTTGAGACAGTAGTTGTTACATAATTCAAAATTCACTTCAGTTTTCACAAAGAATTTTTGTTACTTTTTTCAGATTGAAGCTATTTTTAGAACTGTTTGTTAGAGGAAAATAAATTAATATATAAAGCCATCTCGTATTATTCTTTGTAGAATTACATATTTCTTTTCATCTGTACAAATAATATGAAAATATTACAAAAACATTTTCTTCCCACCATTAAAATAAAAATAAAGAGCCTTGAAAAATGTCTGGTGTTGATAGTTCATCTAGGTTAAAAAGTGATACACAAAAGGCAGACTTCAAAATATTACACAGTTTGTATAATTCACCAGCTCAGAGGACAGCATACATTTATGGTTTATTTGGTCAGTAAAAAAAGCTTCCCATGAAAGGTCCAATAGATGATTTTCGCTTCAAGATTACAGCATTTATGGAGACAATAGTCTGTTGTGATATGGTCATAGCAAAGTTAAAATTTCAAGGTGGCTTTGTTTAACTGGTATAAACTTAGAGAAGATAACATTAGCATTTTGAAAAAGACCTGCATTCATTATGTATATTGTTTTTCAACATGAGTGAGTCTGTTTTGTTTCCTTCTCATTTTGCATTTGTAATCAACTTACATAATTAATTTTGTGCTAAAATTTGTTTTAAATACAACATGATACCAATATTTTGTAGTTAATCCCTCTTTCCCCATTTACCTGTATTAATCTTCTGGTTTTTCTTTAATTATTAGAAATGTATTTGTGTTTCCTTTACCTCTTTTGTTGGTTTAAATAGCATCTAGCATTGTTTTATTGGAAAAATACCAATTACTGTGTACAACTATGTAAGAAGCTCTCTCTTGGATTCTCAAAGTCCTATAAAATTACCATCAGGAAGTCTGTTGTATTATTATGTTATGGAATTTTAAGAACTGTTTCTCCAAATGAAATCAGTAGGGTAAAAGAAATGCAGAGTCCTGACATTCTTTCTTAGGCAAGATTTTTCCTATGCAACCTGTTCCTTTATTATCAGAGTTTAACCCAGCCCTTGATCATTTTCTCTTCAAATACTCGCATTTACATGGATGGTAGGGACGTTTTCATTGATAACATTTTTAAGGATGTAGAGTTAAAGATCTCTTTTGTAGTAAGAAAAAAATATCAGTAGCAAAACAGGACTATTTAATGGATAATTTGAAAAGTTCGGTTTATTCTGAATCTGGTAACTTAAGATCTAAAAAGTAGTAACTTTCAGTTTTTTGTTGTTTTTTTAAGTTTTATATATCAAGTTTTAAATTCTTTGGGATATTAGTCTTTAGTGGTTGTGTGTCTCTTTCAGAGAAAACCGGATTTTCATTTTAAAATTTATGCTGCTTCAAGATTTTTAAAAAAGTCTTATCTCTAAATTATTTGTTATTGATGTCAGTAGATTTAAAAGAGAAGCATATTAGATTTAACATTTTTCATAATAAAAATATTTGAATTCTAAGGACAATGCCTGGGAATCTGAGTCTTACTTTATTTCAAATCAGAATTAAATTCAAACATTTATACTTACAATACCCCTAGATACTGAAAACAAATCTTAATAGCATTTGCTATTCAGAAAATGAAACTGATTTCAAGCAAAAAGAAAATACCTTACCAAGTGTCTGTAAGAAAATTAGTTGTGAAAAAAGTAAAAATCACTATATTTATCTTACAGTAAAGTCTTTCTGTCTTTAGTTTTAACTGGTCATGGACATTAATAAGCCTGTCTGTCCCAGAAGAAAGGTAATTGGTCTGCTTTCACTATTCTGCTTGAAGTAAGACCCTGGCATGCTCGTTAGGACCATCAGCTGAATGAGTTGTAGTTTTTATTTTCTGGCCTCAAAATCTATTCTCATTACATAAGCCCATATGGTTGAAATGAATGGAAACTGTGATGGCAATAAACTTGAGAAATAACATGACAAAATGCACTATGAATGGTTTATCGCTTGTATTTCTCCATTATCGGCCTTTCTAACCCCATCTCAAGACAGTTTCTTTCCCTCTGGTCTTTGTGCTCCAGCCACTTAACATTTTTAGTTTTTCAGGCCTTCAGGACCTCCACATAGCCACAGCTTCACCTGCCTGATAGTTTTTTCCGATATCTAATTATGCTCATCCTCAGATCATAGCTTAAATGTCAGCCCCTCAGACAGGCCTTTCTTGACCGATCATTCTATTGTTCTGCACGTTATTTTCTCTCATGGTACTCCAATCTTTCCTTTCCAGAACCTGCCATAATTTATATAATTTTCTTTCTTCACCATTCTCTCCCGAGTGCCTACTCCAGTTTCTGCACGTAGTAGGTACTCAGTAACTGTATTAAAGGAATGAGGGATGAATGAATATATACTAATCTCAAGATACAAGGTATTTAAGGAGCACCATAAAACTTGGCAGTTGTGATTAAACCTCTGTATGGACAGGAGCTGTTGTTGGTTTGTTTCTGTTCTGTTTTCTTTCTGGGGATGGGAGGAAAATTTAGTAATTATTAAGCCAGAGAAATTGCATTAAATTGGGCTTGTTCATCTTGTATGTGTTTTCATGGGACATTTAGAAAGGATGAAAAGGCCTTGCAGCTGCATGCATCACTCTTTTGCCTGCTGATCCCTAATTAGAACCACTGTCTGGAATGTTTTCATATAGAGCTCAATGGCACAGAAACATTGGAATTACAAGTGAAACCACTTTCCACGCATTTAATTGTTGTACTTTGGTGCTCAAAATTTAGCATATTTAAAACTTTTACTGAGATGCATGCATGTGGAACCTGCTCCATCGATGATATATTTCTTCTTAATGCCAATTGAGAATTTCTTGGTGGTAACTCTTAAGTTAGTGACCGTAATATTATTAATATATTATCTGTGGGGGTCTTGAAACACATCTTCCTGAAACAGCTGAATAATATTGCTATTTATACCTTCTTGAAAGAATTGCCATTCTTTATTTTAATAATTATATCATGCTAGATTTTTTTATAACCTTTTCAGTGGTTCCTGTTTTCCAATTGTATCAACCTGAAACTGCCTTGCTTAGCTTTTGGGGGGTCACCCTACTTTTCTGAACCATGTTCT